GTGTGGTCTGCGTTGTGTACAGTGTGGATGGTCTCCGATGCTGATTCTTAATCATGTCTATATAAATATTCATATTTAAATCGTATCGTATATATATATATACATATTATGTATTTGAATGTATATACATGTACCGCGTTATATACACATACAACAAAAAGAGGTCCTTGAATAGCGAAAGTATACGCAATTGCTACAGCCCATTTTCCTTTGTCCCAACTGACCATGAGTAACTTTGAGGCCATACCAGGGCTTCTGGTCTCGCACGAAGCCTTCAGCACCTTGGCACAGTACATTTTGGGACTGGGATGCGGTCTGTGTTGAGGAATTCATTTCATGCCACAAGCAAACGTAAACCCAAAACTTTTTTGGATAGGAGGATGTTCCCATCATCGGTTTCTATGGTGTCCGGAATAGCTTGCAACCGCAGAACATGAGCCTTCACATGGCAAGTATACCCGGCAGCTGATGTTGTTGTTTCTTTTCTCCGCATAATTACTGTGTGTCCTATGGCATACAGGTATGAGGCCATGGTCAAGGCATGTAAGACGCGTGCTACACGCTATGCCCCTGTGTTAGAGCAAGGAGGCCATGGCTTCCGTGCATACACTTCTAGAAAGATGTGCCTGCCTCAACCTAAACCCTAAACCCTTAAATGGGTGGTTGTCAAAATTATGGTCCCTTTTTTGGGTCCCTATTATAATACGGCCCCTAATATTTAGGGCACCCAAAAAGGGACCATAATTTTGACAACCACCCAAATGAGAAGGCAGTACAAATTCTTTAAGACTTAGCTCGCTTGAAGAGACAGCTTAGGCCCTTAAGCCTAATGCATAAAGAGGGCACATTGTTGCAGTGGGAATATAGTCGCTGTCTAGGAATCCCTAGGGTCTAGGGTTTAGGGTTTTAGGGTATATAATCCGTATATCATCCTTACATAATCCCGATATAATCCCTATATAGTTCATTCTCTTGTTACCATGTTCTGCACGTGTGGCTGCTTGTGGTCCATAGCATGCTCCCTGCATGTGTGACTTGCTCAACGAAGCTTTGCCAAGCCCCTGGAAGGTTTAGGGTTTAGGATCTAGGGTCCAGGATTTAGGATTTAGGGTTTAATTTTCCCCTGCTTTGGTCAGAGCACTGTTGCTACTGCAGATATGGGTGCAGACATGAGGGAGCTGAAGGGGCTGCTGAGCTTATTACCCCCCATTTATGACGGACTAATATGGAGGGCTATCAAGATTGCAGGTTTTTTTTGGGGGTGCTCTACATACCAAGGACTAAGGGCCATAGTCTATTGGGAGCCTAAACATGGATCACAATTTGGATGCCCTCCCCGACTTCCCTTGTATCCACCCCCTCAACCCTAAACCCTAAACCAGGGCTTCACATGGGGATTGGTGTAAATTCCTTATAATACGGGGTCCTATATTTGGGTTCCCATTATAATACGGGGCCCTATATAAATTTCCCCCATTTTGTGAACAGTAATTTAGGGAAACTACCACATGGCAGTAAATAGCCTGGCAAGGTGGGCCACTTTCGTCCGTCCAGGATTCCGATGTTGCGAACGTGGAGGGGGGCAAGGGGTTTAGGGCTGAGGGTTTTGGAGTTCAGGGTTTTAGGGTTTAGGGTTTGGGGCAAGGCCATTACCGCCGCTCCCGCCCCCACCACAACCACCGCCGCCACCGCCAACGACGAGAGTTCTGACTGCCACAAAAGTGCAGATTACCATTATATTATGCGACGACCAATGCTGCTGCTACTACTGCTGCGACTGCTGCGTCAACCACTACTACTACTACTACTACTACTACTACTACTGGCGAAAGTACAGTTAAGAAGAACAATGCAAATGACTAATAACAGTTCTTCTTCCGCAAAACTTCAGATTGATGTGATTGCGCTTTCCTTCGACATTATCTATACTTTACTTATGGCAAGAATTCGTACACATATTACAGCTAGAGCTCTCGTTGTCTCCTTTGTCGATGGATAGCTGGAAGGACGATGTTCGGCTTCCTCGCGTGAGGCGTCCCCAGTCAGTTCCTAGGCTGGTAGCGCAGCTGGCAGACGATGAGTGCCTCGGACTAAAACCTCCCAAGCAACAGTGGGGCAATCTGGGGAGCATGGAAAGGGTTTAGGGTTTAGGGTTTAGGGTTTAGGGTAGGATTACTGCCTTGGGTTTATGAAGCTATTAATGACCTTCCCTGCCCTGAAAACAAGGGACAGTCTTGAATCATGGAGGGGTATGGATTGCAATGCGACTGCGCAAGAAATTACCTATAAGCTGCACGTGTTAGGGGTTCAGGGGTTGAGGGTTGAGGGTGGAGTTCCCTTTAAGTTTCGGCCGCACTGTTTAGGGTTCAGAATTTGGGCTTTAAGGTTTTGAGGTTTGCATGGACCACAAAAACTGAGAGATCCGCGGCATTGGGCCTATCATGCACTACATAGGATGAAGAAGGTCTGTTGAATCATTGTAGAGGTAAGGTTAAAGGTTGCATGGGGGCTTTAGGCTTGGGTGAAGCGAGACAGGTATATAATCTCTTCATACTTATATTAAGCACCCCCCTCCCCTAATGTTAAATATGTCTTCCAATATTCATGATTCTTGTGGGGATATTCTACATTATGGGGTGGGGGTGTTTCATATTCGTATGATGGGGGTCAGAGACGAGGAGCTTCCGCCCTCGGCTGGGTATTCAACGCTTTGCAACAGAATTTCAGGCCCCCAAACGCTATAATCTGAATGGTTCTTGGTATCTGAACACCGGATATTTAGATACGGGGACCCTCAGGGTATCTTCTGGAATGGATCCGCAAGAGCCTTCTGTATTCCTCATACTCCTGCACAGCCCTGTATACCAAAACATCCTTTCAAACCTAAGCCCTAAACCCCAAGCAGACCCCCAAAGCAACTTCCTAAAGCCAAACACCACCAAACTCCCAAACGACCAACCTCAGCCTAAACCCTGAACCCTAAACCAAGAGGCGCGCAACAACAACAGGGTTTAGGGTTTAGGATTTAGGGTTTAGGGTTTAGGGTTTAGGATACCCTAAGCCCTAAACCCTGAACCCTTGCCCTTTGTCCGCAAAATGACCTAAGCGAAAGGAGCCTGCCACGTGACATTGAGATTTCCATGGCGGAGCTGGGTCTCGGAAGTTGCCTTATGTCCTGCTGCTCGGCAAAGATGACATATCCTAGCGGTTTGGGGTTTAGGGTTTTAGAGGCGTCTAGGATGAGACGAGATATCATAGACAGTATGCTTTTATTATGAAATGTTACTGGTTTCTGGGCAGTGTTTATAGGGTTCTTTGGAAATATTGGTGGTTGTATTTGCTGGGTGTCCTGTTTTAATTGACCATAAGCTTAGGATGACATCTTGGTGCTTCTTTTGGTGCTTCTGAAAATGAAGCATCCCCTTTTCTGAAGGTACCTATAATGAGGATGGCAATATAGTTGGGGGTATATGGGTGGAACCTCATTTTTGGAAACAATCATTAGGTCATGTATATAGATGTACATTCTAAAGTCCCCTGCAGAGAGGAACATGATGTTTTCTTTGTGGTTGTCATATGCTATGAGAAGAATGCGCTCTTACTTGGTTCAGCCACCAACTTAGCACTCAAAGGAGCTGGGACAAAATTCCGGGTCTCTATACTCTATATAAAGCTGACGCAATTCTTCGCGCGAGCAGATCATGGGAAAACGGTAAGAGTAAATAGCATGATAATGTAATAGCTTATGTTAGCTGATGGGGATAGGATAAGAGTAAACAATTCAATAACGTGTCAAATTGGATAGAAGGCTGGCCTCTTGGTATTTGGCGCCGCTCGTATAGGGGCGTCTCCAAAGAGAAGTTTTTTTTCTCACCCAGACGGCCGTACGGATTCTATGGGAGGTACTAGTAGTTTCCAGAGACTTTCACATTCAATTAACTCCTAAACCCTAAACCCTAAACCCATATTCAGATGTCGCATAGACGTGATTCATCGTTTCGGTTTGCAACCATGTCTGTAGGCCGGTAGGTAAATATGTGTACATAATCATATACGATTTCACGCATGTTCACATCCGTGCATTCCTGCCATACCCTAGTTATGTCTTGCATGAACGATGAGGCAACCTCACGCCGTTGAGCGCACTTACGTAGGGGGATTTGGGGATTTAACTGTTGAGGTTTATAGTCCCCCTTAAGTAGATAGAATATGGGGTATATATGGGGATCTTATTTTAATGTACCCAAAGCCATATTCTATCTACTTAAGGGGTACTATGGGGTGTAGCGCATTCGGGGTCAAGGGATCTAGCTTTGAGGATGTCGCAGTCTGAGGTTCCGGATGTGTAGCCATGTGAGCTAGTGTCAATATTAGCGGTGGACATTGCGGTTCAGGGAATCGCAAGTGCCACGATCTTTGTTCAGGGTCTACTGGTGCTTAGATCCAGTTCAAAATTGTGGGCTCTGGGTATGTTCTGGATCGTGCAGGGCTTACGGGCTGTAGCGGCTAATAGTGCTAGCGTATTGAAGACTCGGGGCTTGAGGGCCCGTGTTTCGGCATGCCGCCTTTGACCTATCGCCCTTTGGACAATGTGGTAGTTTCCCTAAAAAGGGGGACCCAATATAGACCCCCAAAATACTATAGTCCTTATTATAGGGACCCCCAAAGTAGGTACCCCTAATTTTGGGAAACTCCCATGTACAGCTTCCTGCGATAACAGTCCAAACAGGGCTAGATGGACGGTCGGTATATTCGTCATGGTAGCGTCTCCTACCTTGGTTAGCATGCCTGTGAAAGATGTGAATCTCGTTTTGTTTCCTCTTTGCCGTCATCCTCTTCTGTTTCCCCACTTTAGGCTGCTTCGTATTGTTCTGACCATCCCTGCAAGCGTTCCTTTGCCGTTTTCATGGCTCATCTTGATTTTTTCCCCAGAAGTTGCCACGACCTGTAGCCTAACTGCCTACGAGCTCGCCATGAAGTGGACTCGGCTCGCCGCGGAGGAGCCGCTGCCGCCGCCTCGCAGCAAACATTCGGCAGTTTCTGGGTTGCTGTTAAGGAATTTAATTTAAGTAACTACATTGGGGAAACCCTATTATTTACTATATATATATACCCATTATGGTAACTTAGTTTAAGTTCCTTAACAGCAACCCAGGTTTTCGACCCAACAACTCGAGACTTGGTGGTCTTCGGGGGCGCGTTGGCCTCCGGCGGTTTTGCCAACGACGTGTGGCGGTTGAACCTGAAGGACATGAAGTGGGCTCACTTTGAGCTCGAGGGATCACCCCCAGGGCGGCAAGGCCATTCGGCCGTGGTTGACCAAGAGAAAGGATCCATGATCGTCTTTGGGGGACTGGGTTCTGGTTCTGGCCCTGGTCTCGAGTACTTCAATGACGTCTGGGCCCTGGACCTGAAGACCATGACGTGGGCTCAACTCGAGACAGAAGGGCCGCCTTCGGCACGGGAAGGCCACTCGGCAGTGGTCGACCAGGAGAAAGGATCTATGATCCTCTTTGGGGGGGCTCAGGGCGGTATGTCCGGACATGCCAATGACTTGTGGGCTCTCGACTTAAAGACTCTGAAGTGGGCCCAGCTGGAGCCAGAAGGGCCACCACCGGCGCGGAATAGCCATGCCGCAGTGATCGATCCCGAACCTGAGCCGTACTTGGAAATATTGTACAAAAGCTGTTGATATCGCGGCTGTTTTTTCCGAAGCACCGCGCAATGACTTAGGACATCGCTAGTTGGTTTACATGCCTTCGCCTTGAGAATCCTAAGAAACAACAAAAAGCACAACTTTTACAAGGCTTCCAAGTACAGTCAAGGAAAATCAATCGATGATCATCTTTGGGGGGGTTAACTTGAACGATCCTGGTTTGGATTTGGAAAGATTTTTCATTTTTATTCCGAAAATCCCTTTACAGCCCTTATATGCCCATAGAAATTAAAATTGTTGCCTCCAAATCCCTCGCACTTGAAGATTCAGGAAATTTGTAAGTAGTTCTGGCCTTAACCCTAAACCCTAAAAGCCTTGAAGTAGGATCTTTGGATGCTGGACTTGACGGCCATGCAGTGGACCCAGCTTGAGGCTGAGGGTCCGCCGCCGCCGCGCTGCAACTCAGGGGTGTTCGACCAAGAGTCGCGATCCCTAGTGGCTAGGTCAGAGTTTAGGGTTTCGGGGCCCCTCTCCTCTTTTTAGGTGAGGTTTAAGGTTTGGGGGGTTTAGGGTTTTCAGGGTTGGGTTCCTAGTAAAGACGAACCGAAGACAAAACGGGCGCAGTCATCTTTTTTCTTAGGTTGCCGGGGGCACCTAGGTGATCTTTGGAAGCCATTTTGCTGGGCGCGGTGAAGCATACGGGAATGATCTTTGGTCGCTGGACCTGAAAGCCATGAAGCTGGGTCGTGATTTGGGTTTACGGAGTTTAGGGTCCTCAATATTTTCCTTTCTTTCTTTCGAAACGTGATTTTCAGGGGCTTCAAAACCACAACCCAGGAAGTGGACCCAGGTGGAGGCAGAGGAGTCGCCTCCAAAACGAGCTGGGCACGCCGTCTGTTTCGACCCGGAGACTCGATCTAAGGTGGTGTTCGGTGGGTCCGGCCCCGAGTTAGACAATGCTACTTGGCTTCTGGATTCTCAGCCGTTCCTGGAAACGTTTTCTTTTCATTTATGATTGCTATGAAGAATCCTAAGAAAACCCTAAACCCTAAACCCTAAACCCTAAACCAAGAAACAGCTTAAACTATGAGTTGTCCCAAGGGTCTGAGCAATTGAGGATCTAAAGACACTGAGCTAGGCTCAAAGAGTGCATCTAGTTGCGGCTGCCGGCACCCAGAACTTTCTGGGACCCTCTCAAACCCAAAGCCCTAAACCTTGAACCCTTAACCTTAAACCCTAAACCCTAAAGTTGCGAAACTAAAGGGCTGCACGTGCCAGCTGCTTGATGAATCAGGGCATAGGGGTTGAGGTGTTAGGGGTTTAGGGCCCTATAGTAGTATACTATTATAGTACCCCATTATAGTCTATTGTTATAATACCCAATTACCGTACTCTATAATAGTATCTGTTTATAGTATTTGGGTTTAGAGTTACTGGTTTGAAAGAGTGAGTTTGCCGGAGGTCGTTGTAGATCTGCTCAGTCCTGCAAACGGTCTCTAAGCCTCTTCGGGCGACCCAGCATTGACCTGCAACACGGATATAAGGGATTAAAGGAATAGGGTTTAGGGGCTTGTTAAGAATGGTTATATTGGGAGATTTGGGGAGTATAATAGTAGAATTGATTAAGGCAATACAAGTCTTGCAACATAGTGCTGACGCAGTGCTGGGTGTTCGCTCGGGCTGCTTGCGCAAATCTGCGCACCTGCAGCGCTCGAGTTCAATTTTCACCATGCAGGGATGGCTTGGACCTCGCAGACCGCTCTCAAATTGCGAGCTGGAAACAGTAGACATGCTCGTGTTCCTGCTGATGATGATGCCAATGATGACGATGAATGAACATGATGGGAATGATGATGATGACAACTCACTGGCAACGCCCCAAAAAGCCCAAAGCCTTGAAGTTCTGCCCCCATTTTATAGTCGTACTCGCCTCCCGGAGACCTACTTATACTTCTGGCAGGGCCACGATCTGTACTGTACGCAAGGCCTAAGAGCTTCAGCAGGGCCCCACGAGACGGCATGTTCAGCCGCATGGGGCTCTGGGCTTTCAGCTCGCTCCGCAGCAAACGTCGGCCAAGAGCCTAAGAAGCGGATTCGCTGAATCTTAAATACATTGGGATAATGGAAAATAAAATGGAAACTACTATAGTATATTGGGGTAACATGGGGACAATGGAAAAGAAAATGGAAACTACTATAGTATATTAGAAAAACATCTTTCTCCTTGCCTCCCCGTTCCGGCAGGACAGCTCCTAGGTTTTGCAAAAAGAAACCAGAGCAAAGCTGGATGGTTAGGGTCCCTGTCGTAGTTTAGTATAGGAATTAATAGAGTCAATAATAAGGGCCCCATGTCCAGCAGATTCTGTAAAAAAAGGTGAGCTCATACGTACTCTGGTCTCAACTCCTTCAAGGGGGATTAAAGAGTGGATTACATAAGGGACTGCTATAGGGGATAGTGCGGATACTAGGAGTTTAGACAATGGCTCATATAGGGTTGGGGTGTCGTAGCCCGCTGTACTTCTCACGCCTAGGTCTGGTAAACCAGCGCAAGACCCTCCTGCGCTGCTTGCAGAAGCCCGTGGAAAGTGCGTCCATCTTCCTTGTCCCTGAACCATACGCAGATTCACAACCTCTGTTGTCCCTGAGAATGCCGAACGACGGCTGTGTTGAAGTGGACTTTATCGAAGTGGCTGCTAACAATGATGACAAGGCTGGCATCAATGTCTCCATAGGTTTCTACTCCGTCACGGAACCAAAGTTGAAGCTGAATGGTGTCCCAGGCCGGTATCTAGGTACCCCAGTAGTACCCTTTTGCCTTTTTCATTTTGGGGTTTTCCCGATTAAAGCTGAAGAGTAGGAAAAAGGGTACCCTTATGATTAATGGGTTACTGGGGGAACCTAGGTACAGCAAGCCTCCGTACCGGAAGCAGCTCATCTCCCCGCACTACTCAGAATTTGGGAGCTGGGAGTCACATTCCTCAATTCGAAGTGTGGGATTTCCCAGCGGATCTAGGGAGTCTGGCAAATACTATTATGAAGTCTTGCTGAATGAAGACCCGGAACACAGTTTGAGCATTGGAATTGCTCTGGCGAATTATGCTCCGCGGCATGATGAAACTGGGCTGCTGTTGAGGAATTTACATTGATTACTAGAATCAGGAGACCTACTATCTATTATATACCCATATCATGTTAACTAAAACCCTAAAGCCGAACAACCCTAACCCTCAGGAAACCACCATGGACCGCAATGAGGACGCCTGGCTCGTGCATGGAGGCAATCTGGTAATCAGTGTAGACCTCACCCGACTTCGCCCTGCTGGTTTGGGGTTCAGGGTTTAGGGTTTGATTAGGGTTTAGGGCTTAGGGTTTCGGGTTCAGGGTTTGATCAGGGTTTGGGGTAGATACTCTCAGAAGTCATAAGCCATAAGCTATGGAATTGTCATTGCAAGCTTTGACATTTTCATTCGCGGTGTCTCCTGAAGTGCACTGAAGAGTCATCGGGAATCCGGCCCCCGCATAATCTCATAGCAGTCCCTGCTTATCTGCAGGGTCCGAAAGGTACCGGAGAAGCCTGAGTAGTTTCCAATTACTCTCCAACCAGGCCTAATTTTGGAATCAGGAGTCAAGCAGTTTCCCAGAATTACGGGTACCTTCTGGGGGTCGCTATGATAAGCAGTATTGGATTTTGGGGTCTATATCAGGGTCTCCTTGCCAAGGATCTTGAAGGCTTATGGCTGACACCCTCTTTAGCAGGGCTTAGCTATGGCTTTTGGAGGTTTTGCCTTTAGGAAGGAATATCTACATGATCCGGATGCAAGGCCCAAAGTGGGGCCTTTTTAGGGTTTATAGGGTCTAGGGTTTAGGGTTGTTTTCATTTTCTGCGGAGTTGCGAGGCTGGTGGAAAGGAAAGGTTTCTGGAGCGAGAGGCGTGTGGAAGGCTCTCAAGGTCTTGCAAGAATTGGGGGTTTCCCATAGTATTTAGGGGTCTATATTGGGGTCCCCTTTTTTAGGAAACTACCAATTCAAAGGGAAGGGGAAGGAAGGCTGAGAGGCGCGTCCTTGGGAGGTCCTTGGCCTGGGTGCAGAGGAGGGCCTGCAGGTGGTTTAGGGTTTAGGGTTTAGCCAAAGGCCATCAAGGGGGGAGGGGCATTTACTTTAGGCAGCCAATACTGGTTGCAAGGACCTATCGTGGGTGCTACCGACCTTCTGCCTGTGCTGCCATCAAAGGTCGAGGGGCATAAGCGCCACCCACCATCATAGGTGGGCGGCCAACGCCTTGAGTGGGGAAACCCCACGATAAAGTGCCCCTACCAGGAGCCCTATTCATCCTAAACCCGAAGCCCTTAGCCAGAGGAGCTAGGATTTAGGATTTTGGGAAGGGACCATTACGGGTTGACACAGTGCCTTTGGTAGTTGAGTATGCTTCCTAAGTTCTTCCCTAATAGGGTCCGATGTCCAGTACTGACATGTGAAATTTTAATCCCCATAGTCCCCCATAAAATGCCAATTTCTCTTTGATGTTCCATTATCTTTTTCATTTCATTGTTCGTTAAATAGCCTTTAACAACTACACATATATGCGTATGAAATACAGGCTGTAGTTTAGATGGAGGTGATGTTTGGTTCGCGAGTTCTCGTGAACGACCGGATGAGTGGAAAAACGGTTGGTTAGCAGGGCAAGTTCTCTGCGTTGCCGTGGATATTGATGCAAAGGCGGGGATCTATCAAAAAGCCTCTAGGTTTTTTGATTTTAAGGTGAGGGCTGATACTTAACCAGAACTAACTTTCAATCCAAATGATAGTTGCTGTAGGCGAGATTGACCGGCTGTTTCTTGTTGGGTGTATGTAGTGGAATCTTGATAGTAAAGGGTTGAGAAACCCTGGGGCTCTAAGTCCATATTTACTTGAAACATTGGACCCTAAAGTCCATAGGTAATACTTACACTGGACCCTAGAGTGCATAAACAATACCTGCACTGAACCATAAGTTTCTAGATTTATAAACAGTGCCCATAGATGAAACCTTAGCGACATCCAGGTAATGAAGATCGCAATCAACGGCCACCACGAAACTCGCGCATACAGGTTTGATCCTAAGGGCCAGGCAGTCTACCCCATTGTTGTTGCGGAGACTTCTTACAGAATCTCGGCCACGCAGTTCAGGGTTTAGGGTTCGGGTTTTCTGAGCTCAGGGTGGGTCACAAAAAAAAAACTGCATTTGCAATAGAGAGGCCCTCGTTAAAGCATCCCTCGTCTACCGGTAAGTGGTGTGGACTAGTAATTCAGTCATCATGGGTCTGCTATGATGTCTGGATGGTTTGTTTCGGTTCAACTCCTTGGGTTACCTGAGGCG